CCATATGAGGTGCGTGACCTTGAGAAAATTACTTAACTTCTCTGGGTCTAGATTTCTTCACATATAAAATGGAGATAAAAATAGTTCCTGCTTCATGAGGTTGTTGAAGTAATTAAGTGACACAACTAAAATGATCACGGCTGAGGTGTAACTCAATGGCACACTCTCCTGGCATGCATGAGGCTCTGGGTTCAATCCCTAGCAACGCCAAAAATAAAATGATCACTAGAGAAACAGCAAAGGAGAAAGGGCTCCAAATATGCCATCTCCCCCTTTTTTCTCATCAGCAAAATCTTCATCAGCAACATTATTGTTATTCAAACAAAGAGCTTCAGAAGTGTTTGCCAAAAGCAACTTGGAAACACACTGTGCTCCACAAGGGCAGCCCAGCACTTCAATTCTCCTTCTAAATTCTTGTCCCTAGCAAAATTCCTGGAACACATAGGTACTTGTCTTCATCACTTTTCTTGTTGCTGGGACAAAACACCAGACCAAGGATTAAAGACTTGTAACTTAAAGGAGGAGAGGTTCATTTTGGCTCACAGTTTGTAGAGGTTTCAGCCCACAGTTAGCTGGCCCTGAAGCAGGACAGCATGGCACAGGGACGAGGCAGAGAACTGCCCGCTGTATGCAGGGTGTGCCAGGGGAGGAGCTGAGGTGGGAAATAAACACTTCCAGGCCGGCCCCAGTGATGGCATCTTCCAACCAGACCCCAGCTCCCCACAGTAAGTCAGCTATGAGCCATATCATCCCATCTCCCTCCCACAGCCCACCCATGAGCTCCGAGGGTCTTGGGGACATCAAGATATAAGCCACAACTGTAATAATTGTCTGAAATAGTGAGCAGGTCAGAGAATCAAAGAATCAATGCGTAGAGGCTGAAGAACAGGGATGATTCTGTGATGGGGTCTATGGAGTCCCAGAAGGAGGGAAGGAAAGCAGAGGAAGAGGAGGAGGAGGAGGAGGAGGAGGAGGAGGAGGACCCTTCACTGAGTGCAGAGGGGATGAACAGCTCGAAGACTCCCTGTGATTCGTGGGAGGGTGCTCCAGGAAGAAGCCGTGGCAATTGGCCAGGACACGTGGCCCCAGGGATGGTTTTGTACTGATTTGGGTTTCGGGGTTGAAAGAACATGCTGGAAGCTTACAGGGCGAAGCACTTGGGCGATCTATTTTGGAGGAATTGTCAGGAGAAAAGAAAATGAGAACTGCTGGTAACCTTTGTGCCAGAGCGCTACTCAGGGAGGAGGCGAGTCCGGGACATCCTCAAGGCCTTTCTTCAGCCCTGTGCACTGCAGAGCCTGTGAGAATTAGTCCTGGAATTTAACAGTGTGTGCTGCATGAGACAGACCAGCAAAGGGAGCAAAGCGTGCATAGCAGAGAGACCATGTCCTTTGGGGCAGGGGACTTCTACAGTAAACTTTTTCTAAGATATAAGAAATACATACAAAATGATGATTTTCTAATTCTGGTTTGCATTCCTTGCATATTAGTTGGAATTCTTCTGCAAGAAATCCCCTGCCCATTTTCAGGTTATTACTCTGGAGTCATAGAACACTGATTTAAAAATAAATGCAGGGCTGGGGATTTAGCTCAGTGGTTCCACTACCCGCCCCACAAGCACAAGGACCTGAGTTCAGTCCTCGGTACCAAAAAACAAACAAACAAACAAAAAATAAATGTAAGTTGGGCCAGGGATTTAGCTCAGTGGTTCTGCCACGTGGCCCACAGGCACAAGGTCCCAAGTTCGACCCCCAGTACCAAAAACAAAACAAAACAAAACAAACAAACAAAAAATGCAGGTTAAGCTCTCATTAGTGTTAAATGTGTGTATCTCACAAATACATAAAAGACATCCACATGTATATGTTAGATCCAGAAACATATTCTTCTGTGATCGTAAAATGTATTAAATAGGACACACAAGGAAACTTACTAGTGGTTACCTCAAGGGCAGGAAGCATTTCTTACTGCACTCTCAGAGTCTCATAGACCTGGGCTTGAGTCCTACCTTTTTTTGAGTGAGGGACAAAGGACCATGCGGCAATGGTTTGACTTTCTAAGTTGCTTTGAGGATTAAATGAGAAAATACATGCAAATCAGAAAGCTGCAAGAAGTTGGGCACACAGTAGGCACTCAATAAATGTAGCAAAATAAACTTGCCTACAAAAAAAGATAGGGCTCTGGGGCCCAGCTCCTGGCCTAGGACTTTGTCAAAACTGGCAAAGGTGTGGCTACCCTGAGACATAGCTGCACAGGTCTGGTGGTCAGACACTTCTCAGTCTGAGTCTGAGTCCGAGTCCTGGACTTGATACTTGCTAGCTGTGTGACCTAGAGCAGGTCACTGAATGCTCTCTTGGTTTCCTCATCTGTAAAACGGGGAACTAATGCTTATCTCAGAGTGGCTTAGGATGAAATGAGTTACCAAAGAAAGCCCTGCGCTGTGGTCTAGCCCCTGGAAAGAGCTCAGTGATAGTTGGTGTAGCAATTAACCTTACCTGTGTCAAACTGATTGGCTTAAAATGCCCAGGGGATTAGTCCAGCACACTTTTGGGTTTGTCTGGGTGGGTCATGGAGGCATGGCCTTGGGTACTATGTATGGTACCCAATGCGCTGCTTCCCTGCAACCATGAATTTTGCTCCACCACACCATTCCACCATGTTTTTCACTATGGAGCCAGCCAACCATGGATGGAATCCTCTGAAACCATGAGCCAAATTAAACCATCTCCACGTTGCAGGTGTCAGATGCTGTGTGATGATGGTGAGTGCTGTTACTTATAGCTGAAGCCATGAAAGTTCCACTCCTGGGTGGATTGGAGAGACATCTTGGGGTGGGAAGCAGGCCCCTTCCCTGACACCGTTAGCTGTATGCTTCTCCATCAGCCTCCAAACGGGAAAGTGGAAAGAGCGGAACAATCAAAGGGCTAAGAGTTGCACTGTGGGCAGGCCTAAGCGTCAAGGCTTGGCTATGGGCTACGGGAGGCCCACTGTCCTTCCCAGGGGCTTTTTGCAAAGTGCTAGAAGGAGAATGGGACTGAGGACAGGAGTTGCTCTGTCCCTGAAAATTTACTTAATTTTGGGCAAACACAGAAGACAGAATGTGAATTGTTGAATGCAGCTGGAGGCATCGTGCTATTTCCAACACTGCCTGATGCTCACATCTGGGCTGGGGGTCCCTGCAGATCCAGCCTTGATTGCAAGACTCCTTTTCAGTGACTTGCTTCTAGATTATATTAGTCAACTCCCCAAAAGATGGAGTAAGCACAGCACTCCAGGTTACAATTTGCTGTCCCCTGTGCCAAGTAGCCTGAGGCCATGCTTAGGACCCTAAGTTTCCATCCCGCTATGGATAAGTCATGCAGCCTCAAGCAATTCATTTCAACGTCCTTTTTGGAGCACTTACAAGGCCAGCGCTAGATCAGGTCCTGAGGGACACAAACCACAGTCCAAGTTCCTCTCCCTTGATAGTGGAGCTGTCAGGCACAGTTGTGCCAGTTGGAAACTATATAAGGCCATTCCAGAAAGACTGAGAGGCCATTCCAGCAAGACTGAGAGTAGGGGCTAAAATCCAGCCTGTGTGCTGGTCACATGGGACAACACCCACCCCCGTCCTTCTAGAAGAAAGAGTGCCATCTGAAAATTTGCATAGAAGTGCTATATTGGATTGTGGTAACTTTTTTTGCCATTAAGTTTATTGGTGCATTTTAGGTATACAATACAGTCACATTCATCATTAGGATCTTGCACCTTTACATGATGGATCTTGGTTCTTATTTTTTCCCCATTCCCCTGCTCTCCCTTCACCCCCTTCACCCTTCCCTATGGCAGCTTTCCTGAGGAGGCCATGTCTGCCTACTGACACAAAAATATAAATAAAGGGCCAGGGATTTAGCTCAGTGGTTCCACCACCTGCCTCGCAAGCACAAGGTCCTGAGTTTGATCCCTGGTACCAAAAATAAAATATATATATATATATATATATATATATATATATATATATATTACATTTCCTCATAATAAAAACAATAGTTCTATTTCTTCATGTGGAGACTGGTTGAAGAAATCAAATGAGAGCAGAGATGAAACACTTTGTGACCACGCATAAAACAATGCAGCTCTAACAACACCCCATGTAACTGTCCAGCAATCGCATGGCGCAAACTAGCTGTGCATCCTTGGGGAAATTATCTCACTTCTTTGGGCTTAATTTTCCTCCTGTATAAAGTGAGAGAGAGGGTCGAGAGCAGTGGATGAGTTGGTTGAAGATTGCTTTACCCTTGCTCCAGAGACCCTAACAGAGTAGGTAAAGTGTGGGGATCTAAGAATCTGCTTTTTGAGTCTATATCCCAAATACTTCTGATGGCCATGGTCAGCAGGCCCAGTGCATAAACCCGGACCTGGCCTTCACTGACCTGTGTTTTGTATATTACAGCAGACACAAGTCCTGCTGAGTGTGAGATGACAGGAGGATCAGGTTCCCTGATCCCCAACCCGAGTGTAATGACCTTCTGGCACCCATGTGTTCCTGTCTCCAAGCTGATGGGCTGGCCATGGACACTTACCAGTTACACACTCCACTCCAAGGATCTGGCCACTCTGTCTGAGCTGACCCCACCTGTTCTCCTCACTGAGAATCATGACCAGTTAGCCAACAGTTTCCCTTCTGGTCTTTCTGAAAATAGAAGTCAGTCAGTGTCAACACAAGGCTCTAGCCAGCCTGGAAATGCTCACCCACCAATCACCTCAAGCATCATTGGTGAGACAGCTGTCTGTGCTTTGCCCGGTTAGCTGGTGACTTCCTCTTCCCCTAGCTCAGACCTTGTGCACCTCCCACACCAATGCTCCTTCAGCCCTGTGCTGGAAGTGGGGACACAGAAGGGTGACAGCAAGTACAAAGTGCTTCGCATGGGTGCGGCGCACACTGAGCACTTTTACAGACATTATTTTATTTTTCTGAACAACCTGCTATGTTGGATAACACTGTTATCTTCATTCTACAGATGAGGAAACTGAGGTCCTGAGGGGCAGGTAACTTCTCCAGATCCGTTCTGCCAGTTAGTTTGGAGGAGGGAGTCCAGTGCCAGCCACAGAACTATAATTCAGACACTCTTGACTCTTTTGGTAAGCTGACCTCAAAAGTCTTTGTCCTTTGGATGAAAAAATAGAGAGAGGGAGTCCCCACCGAGTCCAAGGCAGAACTGAGGGAAATAAAAGATGCTGGATTTGGACTCTGGCCTCACTGTCTGGTAGGAAGAATAGATGTTAGACAGGCAACTCCAACAGCAGTGATGGGGCTGGTAATATATAAATAAGCAACCCTCAAGGATCCAGAAGCAGCACTGGTATCCAATGGAGGCCACTGAAAGTTGTCATTAAAAGGTGATGTTTTCATTGACATTTAATGTTGCTTTCTTGTTCTAAAGTGGGCTGTGAGCCTGCCCTACTGTGCATCAGCTCCGAGTTCTGGCTGCAGATGGAAGAGCCCCTCTCTCTTGCTTGGTTTTAGGGTGAATGCATGAATTTAGCAGTCTAACCAAGTGAAGGCCGGGCTTCTATTGATGGTTTCAAGCTGTGAAGATTCTCCTTCCTCTTTCTTTCATGTGTGACACATGTCCATGAGGCTGATCCACTGTTACTGCTACTGTTTGACTACCAGGAAAGCCATCCAAGAGGCAAAGCTAACCCAAAGAGAGCTTCGGGGAAATGGAACAGGAGCCTAGATCTAAAGTCCAAAAGACTACTGGACATTTTCAAGGAGTCAACGGATTTCCTTTATTGCTTTAGACATCTAGAGATATGTTTTCTGTTATTTGTCACCCAAAGCATTCCAACGGATCCAAAGTCTATTTTTGAAAATATGTATAGATACCCATCAAGTGTTTTACACTTCCTATGATCAGGACCAAGTATTAGTTACAGGCTTCTGGTTTCATGAGGCAGAAAAACTAGCCCCCACAAATAAAAGCAAAAATGGAATTTATCAACTCAAAAACATGAATGGTTAGAGAATAAATTGGGCTTAAAGGCATAAGTGAGTATGGGAATCCAGACAAAGCATCAGAACTCCAGTTCTTTCCATGTCTCTGCTCAACTCTGTCCTCTTTTACATGTGGCTCTAATTCTTAGACCTGACCTCCCTTTGCTGTTGCATTCCAGATCTTATGACCTCCAATTCAAGTCCCGTGGGAAGGGCAGCCTCATCATCAGTTAACCAAGAAAATCTTGGGGTTTTCTGGGTGAGCTTTGACTCAAGCCCTGCTTCCACTCCTGGACTAACCACCGAGTCCACACCGGAGTGCGAACTTCCCCGGGAGACTGGGTCCTTACTCCCGTGACTCACCACTGACCCACACAGACGTCAGCTTCATGCAAAGCACATGCTCAAAGTGGGAGTGGGCGTTTCCCCCAGAACCAAATGAGGCAATGTCGTAGGCAACAAAACAACCGATGTTCCCCATGGCTCACTTGAAAATGCCCCTCAGCCGACATTCCTAACATTACATGTATGTGCAACAGGTGAGTTTAACATAGAGTGTTGTTGTTTATCACAGCTTCGCATTCCTTTCCTGGGTTTGCCAGCCTAAAGTCAGAAATAGTTTCTGTGAGGCAGTTTTCTTCTTCCGTGAGCGTGTTCAACAAGTATTTTCTGAGCACTAATGTAGACAGTGGTAAGAGTTATCAACCACACTTACTAAACACTCATATAGTACATATATGATCTCATCGGTCTTCAAGCAGGGATGATTTTTCTCCCCAGGCAACATGTGGCAATGTCTACAGACAATTTGGATTGTCACAACTTGGTGATTGCCACTGGCATCTAATGGGAAAGGCCTTGAAAGATGCTGACCACCTTTCAGTGCACAAGGTGCTCCTACAGCAAAGGATTACCCAGCCCCAAATGTCAGTGGTGCCGAGGTGGAACCCTACACCAGCTCATGATGTTCTCCTGTTTCCACAGGTGAAGAAGAGTGAAGCTCAGCAAAGTTAAGCAACCTGTCCAGAGTTCTGCAGACAGGAAGTATTGGGGATGGAATTTTAATCCAAAAACCTCACTTTTCTCTGTTATTTAGCGAGCTTGGATTTAGAGTTCAGTGTTCCTCCACCCTTCCCCATCCACTCTAAATTCTGGTTCCCTGGGTCAGGGCACCAGAATCAGTATAACAGGATTGCAGATGATGCTGCTGTAAGCAGCCACCTCACATGTGTTTGGGGAGCCCTGCAAGACAAAGTGTGATCCCTGGAGGGGATCTTTGCTGTAAAGTGTCAGATAATAAATATTTTAGACTTTGCAGAACATACAGCATAACAAATACTTAACTCTCCTGCTATAAAACATACACACACACACACACACACACACACACACACACACACACCATAGAGAACATGTAAGTGAATGAGCATGGCTGCGTACCAATTAAACTTTACCGAGAAACCACCCTGGAGGCCAGGGTGGCATGTGGACCAAACAGAGGTTGGTGATTTCTGCTTAGTAGAATAACTAGACTTCCATACTTCCATCAGTAAGTCCTCATTTTAGACACTCAGACTGCTGTCCAGCAACCCCCAAAACACAGTTATATTTCTCAATCACCTTTGTAACCAAGAATGAACACATGACTAATTCCTAGCCAATGAGAAGCAGATGGAAGCACTTTTTAGGATTCCTTGAAGGGCTGATTAAATGAATCTGATTCATTTGATAAAGGCCCTTTTACTCGCTTCCATTTTTGTCTCCTCCTTCCAAGAGTTCCAGCAGCCATCCTGGAACATGAAGTGACTTTGAGGAAAGAAGCCACACGCTAGAAGGAAGAGCAGACAGGCAGGAGTCAGAGTCCCTGTTAACACCAAGGAGCCTCCGTGTTTTCTTGCATGGCTAACCTGTTCATTTTTATGTGGGAGAAAAATAAACTTCAGTCTCGGGTCACTGTGTGTGCTTATCATTATGTGCAGTAAAACTAATCTTGACTGTGTATCAGCACATGGATACAGGCAACAAATATTTGACTAGCGAAAGGAGTGCCCAGTGTGGACAGAGCACCCCAGGGGAAATTAATGCTGTGAGTGGGTGGGAGCCATGGAAACAAACGAACACCGGGGCTTCCTTGGACTCTTGGTGGTAAAGCACCCAGGGTGACTCATGTCTCTGCCCGTTCCTCCTGTCCCTAGGCTTCCTCCCCACAGGGGACCTTTACAGAACTCACCATCGGGCTCTGTGTCTTCAGGAGCGTCCTTCCTTCCTCCCCAAGACTACATGGCACGGAGAATTTACTTGCTTAGTAGTGTGATGACCAAATCACGTAGTTTCCTTGTGTGTCACTTTCCCAGACTACAAAACAAACCAATAATAACTTTCCCTGAGTGATATCGTGACAAATAGTGAGAGGGTGCCTAGCACAGAGCAGGGGCTGAAAGTACAGTGCTGGAAACTTCTCTCTCTCCTGACAATCAGGAATGAGGCGTGTCAGGCTGCTGGCGTGGTATCGGGTAGATCCCTGCTGCCGGGGAAGGGCAAAATCTCCCAGCCTTCAACCTTGACACTTGGTCCTTTCCTTTCTCTTAGCCTGTCCCCACCCAATCAATCACACTCTCTCTTTATTCCCCCGCCCTACTTTACAGTGCAGGCAGAACCATCCTTAAGGTGTGAAAAATCCTTTTTTTCTCCCTGACATTATGTCACGTCATACAACCAACCTCATGCAGCCCTGCGAGAACATCCAGTGCCACAAGGACATTCTCAGTGTCACAGTAGTGGCCACACATTGCCATTTTCTGGCAAATGAGGCCTCAACGTTGTCGTCTCCAACAGAAGAGTGCGCACAGGACACTTGGGAACCTGCAGGCCCTTCCATACAGGTGGCTTACAAATGCAAAATAGTACACATCCCAGGAGAGCTCTGAAAAAGCTATTAGTGCCATGCAGGGGGATGAATGACCCAAAAAAAGCTGCCAGCAGTGAACAAGATCGCATGGCACTCAGTGTGTGAATCAGGTTCACAGAGTACTGTTCTCAAGGCTGTAAGCTTAGCACCGCTTCCTGTAATGGTGCTGAGGAGAAGCAGACAAGCGCCAGGGAGTAAGGGCAGGGCCCCCAGGTGGCACCCTTGGAAGCATGCGTGGCAGGGCTCAGCAAAAACAGCCCAACCAAAGGGAACAAAGAGCTAAATATGGGTCTAGATCTGAGTGGGTAAGAAGCAAATGATCCCTTTGTTCTCCAGCACCTGGTAAGCAAAGCTTTTTGTCATCCTCCAGGGCGTGGAGGCATCAGGCAAATATGAATAAAGTCTGAAGAGGCCAACTAAACAAGTGACTATGTGCATGTACTAGTCTTGCCCTGTGGTTTTAGTAATAAGCACAGCCCAGGGAGAAAAGTGAATAAAATCAATCAAGGAGGCTGAACATTACTGACTTCTGGTGTCTGTGGGATGTGATGTCCCCCACAGCAGTTAGACAGCAGCCATTCACTCGTTCATTCACTCACACAGTCATTCATTTCACAGCATCTGATGGGCTACACAATGTACCAAGCACATGATGGCGGGACTGGGAGTTTAGGGTGAGGGCACCTGTGCTGTACCCACTTGGCACTGATGCCATGGGGCCAGAGCCACGGCACTCTGGTTCCTGAGTGGAGTGGCCTTTGGAGAGTCCTGGCCCCATCAAAGCATGAGGATCTTGGACACGTTACCTAGCCCTGCCTCGCCTACTTCCCTATTGGCAAAAGGCAGGTACTGATAGCATCCACCTCTGGGGTCAGAAAGAGGCTGCTATGAGACCGTGCGTAGGAAGAGCTGGCCAATGAGTTTCCCTGTGGTGGTGGCTGTTACTCCTGCTGCTGGCCAGAGGGGCTGAGGAGGAGAGCTTGAGCAAATGACAAGCCCAGAGGACAGGGAGGAGGTCAGAGCTGTGTCACAGAAACACTGCCAGGAGGGACGCCTCTGACAGCCAGACGTGCGGCTGGGTCTGGCCTGTGGGGACCCAGGAGTAGGTTCTGATCCAGCCTCTGTCCTCACACTGAAGGGACCTGCTGGGAGCACAGCTCCACGGCACGACTGAAAGATAAAGCAGCGTGCCCCTTGGGTACAGCGTCAGCATCCTGTCTCGTAGCCCACCAGACAAGGGTTTAGAGTGGAGGCCACCCAGTCTAGAAGTCAAGGCCTAGTGGGAACGGACCACCACGCTGCAGCCTCATCCCACCTCGCTAGCTTTGCAACCTGGGGTAAAAGGCCTGGCTTTGCCCAGCCTGTTAAAGGAGGCTGACATA